GATCCTCACCAGTACCACCGCAACTGGAAAACCTTCCCTCCAGCATCCTCCTCCTCCTCCTCTTTGATTACTAGTCAGGTCGCTAATCAAATCTTAATTAAATGGGTTTATATTATCAACCATAAGACAGATGTGAATTCCTGCTAATTCAATCCTCCGGAAGGAATGTTGTACAGTTATAAGCGGTCCACCTGGAGACTCCCGCTCTCATTCCATTTGACCAACGTCATCCTGTTGATAACCGGGGGATGAAGTGGCTCAGCCAGCCATTTCATGCCTGCCACCGTTTCTTGGTCTTCTTGTCAAGATTCCTGGAGTATGAGATTCTAAATTGGCTGACAGGCTCATCGATCGCTCAATCATTCCACAGATCGACCCTGCAATTATGGACGTGTAAGCCCCATAATGTTGAAAGCAAACCGAGTGCAACAACCCTTATAGTGTGATGGGTGTTGTCGACAGACAGACAGACAGATGGATCAAGACAGATTATCGTATCATTCTTTCAGTCAAAGGCCTGAGTTCTGATGGTCTAGCGGTCTGCGAAAGCAGCCCTGGCTGGAGCTGTCATATCTCACGCTTCGCACCCACTGTACAGTAGAACAACTAACGCTAAATCCCCTGCATCCTCTTCGAATCGACAGATCTTACCAACTCACTATTAACAACGATGATTCGTATTGCATGTTGTTTTTAGCCCGATGAAGAAGGACACGTTATGATCGTCTCTCAGCCCGAAGTAAGGTAGATGCAGTTGCATACCCTTGAGAAGATCCAAAGATGTCCTGCCCTTCCGGTCACCGGCGCCCATGTGCACTTGACCATAACCGAAATGTACCAGATGTATTCGCAACTTTCACACGTCGCACACCAGGGTCATCATTGCAGGAGGCGAATTCCAATTTGTCTGCCTGTATCATGTCCCGCTGTACTCCGGACAGCGTTCCCAAATGGCGTGCAGGGATCAATCTGCCACTTATCAATCAGAAGAGGAGGTTCGGACGGTCGGATATATCAAACCCACCCGCGCTACGGTCGCCTGAGGCCAATTTCTGCGCTCGGGGTACCCGCTTTGGCCAAACGTTGAGTACTACGGCTACGAAGTACTCCTCTCACTCCCTTTCTTTAATTACCTCCCGGCCGGATTAAGTTTCGAAGGGATGCAAAACATACTTGACTAAAAGAGCTTGATGGCAAGAGGAAAAAAAGAAAGTTCATGTGCTCAAAGTAGGTTTAATTTACAGAAGTTACTCCAGGACTTGAACAGCGGAGGATATCACATTAAGTCCATCCCATTGTCTATAAGCCCCGACTCTCTCTGATCGTTGTCGGTGCAACAACAGATACCTAGTGAGCAGCGTGGGCCTCCTCCTCCGGTTCCTCCTCGAACCAGCTCTCTTCAACGGGAGCGGCCTCACCAGCGGCGGCCTGGCCCTCAACCTCGACCTCCTGGCTCTCGTAGGACTTCAGCTCATTGGCGAGGTTGGCCTCCTCGGGGGACTGGGGAGCGGCGGGAGGAGCGAACTTCTGGACGTGAGCGTCGGCGTCACCGGCCTTGACGGGAGTGGGCTTGTAGGCACGGAGTTCGCGGAGGTAGAGCTCCTGGACAGGGTCGGCTGCAAGACGTTAGAAACCGTAAATGCCTCATATGCACGGCTAATTTGCCCAATCCGAGTAAACATTCTCGATGGGAATCGATTGCACATTGTATGATAGAGGGTCACATACCCTGACGGACAGCCGAGGTCAGGAAAGTGCGGCGAGAAACAGAAACCTGTTGCCGAGAGACGCGGGAGAAGAGAGAGCGCTACCGAACAGAGTCAGTCACCATGTTACCCGGTTGAGTTGGGGGGTATATCGTAGGTGTATCGTGATCTTACCGACGCTCTGAGAGTCTGGGACATCATCGCGGCGGGGTGATAGATGAGGGGGGTTGGAGGTAGGTGGGTTTCTGCGAGGAGAGCAAGTGCTGATTGAAGCCGATGTTGGAAGTTCGACGTTTGTTCGGGAGCCTTCGGCTTGGCGGATGAGTCAGCAGGGCGGCTGCGAAGTCCAAGTCAGGTGCATCTCCAAGCTGGGTTTGTCCGCTTCGCCCCTCAACCTCAGTTCTTTCGCTTCCTCTTCCTCTCTCCTCTTCTCTCTCGTCGTTCTTTGTTTCCCTCCCCTCTTAACCTCCCGGCCACCTCTTCCGCAAGGCCTTCCTTGTCTGCTCTGCGACACTTTTTCGTGATACAACCCTCACGGAGAGACCTTGACTGGTTCCATCGCGGTCGGGCAAGTTTGGCTTCGAGGTTTCGGAGATTACGCTGGAGAAGGTGATCACCGAGTACTTCCGTGCTTTACTCTGGGAACTTTGGCAGGACCAAGAGTCCTTCACCTGCCCGGAAAGGTAAAGCGCTAGCTTATAGAACCTGATCCCCTCGAGGATAAAACTGCATGTCGGTGACTACCGGTGGACCTTCACCGTTGTCATTCATCATGTAGTTTTCACTCGGGAATCTCCTGCATCGTCTCCCCATTGGAGTTGTTGTTCAGATATGCTTGGGGCATTCAGGCTAACATTAGTGCAAAGGCAGTGACGTGGAGACGTACTTGCAAATCACTCTGAGCGATTTGCGCCGCTGCTGTCCCATCCTTTCTCGCCGCTATACTGTGAGCACGCCGATTCATAAAGTCTCTCCAACAGACTTTGGACGTGAGCCTCACCTTGCCCTTCGAAGGCCATTGCACCTGCAGCCCCGAGTTTCTCTTTACCACCTTTCAAAGAACGATACATCCAAGCTTCATCACACTGCCTCTAAATATGGCTGCCGTTTCCCCTGCTGCCGCTAGGGCCGAGCCAGGCCAATGGAAGAAGAACCTTTCAGCCCACGTCATTTGTCCCGAGTGCAAAGAAGTGCCCCCGAATCTGGAGTTTCCTGGTTCCCACGAAACTGTTTGCGGCTCATGTGGACTGGTCCTCGCTGATCGGGAAATTGACATGCACTCTGAATGGCGTACATTCTCCAATGACGATCAGAACAACGACGACCCTTCTCGTGTTGGAGATGCAATGAACCCACTTCTCAACGGTGATCAGCTGGAGACCCAAATTGCTAGTGGTGGGTCGGGCCGCGTTCGCGACCTTTACCGGGCTCAGAACAAGCAGTCAAGTGAAAAGGCAAACAAAGCTCTTCTGGCAGCCTACAAGGAAATCGGTGCTCTCTGCGATGGTTTCAACATCCAGAAGAACGTGGCAGACACAGCGAAGTACCTCTTCAAGATTGTGGACGATGCCAAGGCATTCAAGGGAAAGTCTCAGGATGTGATCATTGCAGGCTGTATATTCATCGCCTGTCGCCAGTGCAAGGTGCCACGTACCTTCACTGAGATCTTCGCGGTGACCAAGGTTACGAGGAAAGAAATTGGTCGTATTTACAAGGCTTTGGAGAAGTTCTTCACTGCGCAGAACCTCGAGCGGATCAATGCTGTGGTCTCCAGCGGAGGTGTCCCTGACCCCAACGACACATACACCGCTACGACTTCCACCAAGCCTAGTGATCTTTGCAACCGTTTCTGTAACCTGTTGGATCTGCCCTTCCAGGTTACCAGCGTCTCCTCTGCTCTATCCGATCGCGTGACAACGATGGGAGATTTGGCTGGACGTTCTCCCCTGTCCATTGTGGCGGCCTGCATCTACATGGCTTCGTACCTGATGGGACATGGCAAGAGCGCCAAGGAGATATCCCAGGTGGCCCATGTCAGCGATGGTACGATCCGCGGTGCTTACAAGCAGCTATATGCTGAAAGAGAGCGCCTGATCGATCCCGAGTGGATCAAAGATGGAAAGGGTGACTTGAAGAACCTGCCTAATAGTTAAATGGGCTAGACCTTGCCCTTTTCAAGCAGTTTGACTACTCGACATTTTGCCGGAATAGCCGCTTGTGCTTCACATCCAGCGCCTTGGTCAAACCTCGCTACTAGCTACTGAGAGTAAACATGATACCCAAATCACCTAGAGATATACACAAAAAGAGAGAGAAGAACCAAAAACAAAAACACAGATATATAATCCAAATCCATTTCATACCGTCGCATCACCATATCAAATAAAGAATGGCAATTTGCAAAAGAAGGACCTGGTAGTCTCCCAAACGAACGAGAATGAAATCCAGAAACCAGAAAGGGGAAATCTCAGTCGTTATTTCAAAACCATCATCATATGCCGTCATATTCCTTCTTATACTATACCATCCATCTTCCAACTTCCAAAAGCAGCCCTGATAACACCCTTTCCTTTTGCTCTCGGTCCCCCGTTGAATTTGCCAAAAACCTTCCCATTGAAGTTTATTTAATCATTTGCTCGGTCCTTTAGCCTTTTCGTTTACTACTTTGTATGTAATTAATCCAGACATATCTAGCTAGCATACATGCCATGCATCATGCATCATTAGTTTTCAAATCGATCAATTCCTATTATTACTAGTACTAGTAGTAATATCTATACAACATTCATACAGTAGATATTAACGTAACCTGACAACTCTTGCAATTCGCAGAACTTTGACAACCTAACTCCTCTATCTCATCTCTGTAGTGGTATTATTATTATTTTAGGAGTTGATCTGATCAGTAAGTGTAAAGATTGAACTTCGGCTTAGGTGAAGGTTGATGATTAGTAGAAAGGACCAAGGGGCAGAGTGACCCTCACGCGGATGTACCAAAGGAGTAAAGTACGATGAATGATACGAATAGCACTGCTGGAAGGTGGGCACACAAGCTAAGCTAGCTAACTGGCTGGCTAGCTGTACTTACGTGTTGTTGACTGGCGGTGGTTGTTGTCGTTGTTGTTGCTGCTCTATAGCTACTGCACAGAGGTTATGGTAGACTATGCGTGTATGTGCTATCAAGGGAGTGAAACAAGACGGTGGGGTGCACGAGTGTCTCAAGAAATGAAAGAAAAAGGAAAAAGAAATGAGAAAGCAACATGTAGAATCAGACAACCGTCAATAGCCGGTACTTCACTGGGTCTCGCCAATGTCACCTTCCGAAGGCCTTTTGCCGTCTGCAGAGGCGGCTAGGGTTTCGGCGACGTTGTCGACGTCTTGCTCAGGGGATGAGGTCTCTTTGGCAATAGGGACATTCTCCTTGACCACGGGTTCTACAGCGGGGCTTGGCTCAGCCGCACTGTCAGTTGGTATTGAGTGGGCAGCCTCGGTGAATGTAGGCTCCTTGGACTCAGTGACTGTTGTGTCCTTCGGTGAAGCTGAGACATCCTCTTCCTTCTCCGGCAATGGCTGCGGATCAACAGATTCACCGGCGATATTCTTTGCGATCGCTGGAGCCATGGTATCGGGCTTGGTATCAGGAACAGCAGAGTTGGCTTCAGATCCAACGACCAAGTTACCGTCTTCACCAACTTGCCAGACATTCAACGTTGTGGTGATTCTGACCTCAGGAATAGTGGGTAACCTCGTGCTGGCCTTCTCAACGGCAGGCTTTCTCCGCGCGGGTCCACGGGCGCGGCCCTTCCGAGCATCACTCAATGGTTGTTTCTCTACCGGGGCGGCTTCTTCCTCTTTCTTCTTCTCCTGAGGCTTGGGAGGGGCCTGCGGGCCAAGCTGCAACCGTGAGTTCAAATCCGACAGGAACCCTGCCTTCAGTGCAGCAATCTTACTACCGCCAGGACGCGCCGGTACGGCTGGTTTGGGCTTGGGAGCGATATCCTTTGACTCTTCGGGACTTGCACGAGAGATAGGCTTGGCTGGACGGGCTGGAATCTGAGGCTTGGGTCTATCCGGGATGACTGGAGGTTGACGCTTTTCAGTAGGTGAGGTGACCGGCTTCGTTGATGTATCTACTGCTGTTGTCTGCTGCGGGCGCTTCTGAGGACGTAGTGGGATGCTCGGCTTTGAGGGGACTTCTGGGCTCTTGACCTCTTCCTCTGACGGTTCTATGGTCGTCACTAGTGTATGGCTTTCAGGGGCGTCCTCCCAGATGTCACGGCTGGGGAATCTCTGCTTGGCCACTTCCGGTCGAGCGGGGGGCTTCTCGTCATGCTCTTCGGATTCCAAAATCTGTGTTGCGACCTGATGGGGATCCAAGTGACTCGCGTGGCTTCTACGGAAAGACTCTTGCTCAGGAGTCTCAAACACCTCCTGCTTGGGGCCCTCCGGGGTAGACACCGTAGCGTGCAGCTGCAGACTGTTAGGCGAATCTTCCCAGATATCCTGGCTAGGGAACCGATGTTTGAGCTCCGGACGCTGCTTGAAGCGCTCTGCAGTTGAGACAGTCTTCTTGTCCTTAGCATCGTCCTCAGGGAACAGGGGCTCATATTCTTCGACATCTTCAAGAGGAGTGTAGACGCCTCCATGCTCTTCGCGCGAGTCATATCGCGTCAAAGCGGGCATACCACTCTGTACACTAGCAGCCCTGCTGTTAGATCTACTGTGCGTGGCGCTAGGTGTGTGACTTCTGCCTTCATAATCAACATTACCACTCCGTTCAAACGAAGGAGAGACAGCGGGATGCTGGTAGGCCGACTCAGGGCGTACTTCGTCGGCAGCCAATATGGGCTCGTCGTTTTCATTGCCATCAGCAAAGCCGCGGTTAAGCTCTTCCGGATCCGGAGTCTGGGCGAAACCATCGGGATGGTGCAAGTGGTGGTACGGCTCGTCAACATGAATCACTCGAGGTTCTTGTGGCTTCTCAACTGCCTCTTTCTCCACAGCCTCATCCTGTTGTGCCTGGGACTCTGCGGCTGGTAAGCTGGACTTGCGGAGTGGGGACTCGAAGGCCGGACGAGAATCCCGACGTGACTCGGGAGGTGGCGATGACAAGCGATGCGTATACTCATCAGAGGCAATGTAGCCAACTTCCTCCTCTGGAGTTCCCGCCACAGCAGGCGAAGTACCTGAAATATGATTATCAGCACTAACATTCCGATTACAAAAGCGTATTGTTAGTTAACGTACCAAGTCCAGAGCCAGTGACAGCAGAACCTCGAACAATCTTGTTCAGGTCGTCACTGCTCAAAGCCCAATCTGGTCTAGGCGTGCCAACACCAGGACCATATTGGCCTTGTTCTTCCTTGACGTATTCCTCAGGGTGCTTCTCGTACCACGCTTTTTCAAACTTGTCGTTTGTAGGTACACCGTGCCCATGCAGGCCATAACTTCCGGGTGGCAGAGAGGCCTCACGACCACTACGGGTTCTGTTGTGACTCCGACCTGGACGTTGCTGCTGGTGCTCCACGATGTATGGACTTGGAGACGGAGCCTGGACATCGCCCGCGTTGGGGTACATGGGCACTCTCTGCCCAATCTCGGGAATTCCGTGATCATCACCGTGGAGTGACTGTCTGCGATCTGCGGACGCGGTTGAAGACTCGGCGCGTGAGCCACTAGCCCGCGAATGCGATGAGCGAGTGGGCCTTTCGGCATGATCATCATGAAGAGGAGACCCGGCACGGCCCAGACCGGCTGCTGCAGCTTGACGAGAATCTGTACGTGTGACAGCCTGCACCTTGGCCTTGGCACTGGAGGAGGGTAATGATGGCCTTGGCGCATGGAGCTTGAGATCGCTTCCCACGTTACGTGTTTCCGCGGGGGTCGACTGGTGGGCGTCGGAGGCGTTGCCAACATCCAAGTCTTCGTACTCGATACCCTCTTCACCCAGAGAGGGAATTGTGACACTCGGAGGACGGGGAGGCAGATCGGTCGAGGGGGTACGCTTCACGCCCGAACCATTGGGCAGTTCATTCAAAGGAGAAGGTGCATAGCTATCGCGGTAGGGAGACACTGAGCGCTCAATGCGGTGGGTAGGACGAGGAGGGATCCTAGGCATGTCTGCTGAGGAAGGTGCAAGGCCTTGTTGAGGTGATCTTGACGGTCGGGGAGGGATGACTGGAGCTGTTTGACTCGACATGATTGTCTGGGTGGTCTGATAAATATGGTTTCGGTATGTGCTGGAAATCAATTCTAACGATCGTCAGTCTCAGCGGAGCATTGAACAAGTGTCACATGAGCCAGTTGGATCTCGATGGCGGGGAAGTGATGAGGGTTGGGTTTGAATTGGAGCTAGCACAGGGCAGCTGTGCATACATAGGTCACGGAAACAGGACAGGATGCAGGGGCGATGGTCAGTCTGGGGGGACGTGCTCCCAGTGGGAAGATAGAAGAGAGCACTATCTCAGCTAGTAGAGGAGCTAGCGGAAGAGCTGCAGAAGAGAGCACGAGGCGAACTCTGTGGCAGGGATTGTACATATGTAGCCGGAAGCAGGTCGATAAGATAGGTGCCATGCGAAGCCGCTCACATTCTTCGTTGTCTTGGCTTGTCCAGCAGACTTCTGAAGGCGGATAGGAAGCCGTTCCAAGGGATTTGGAACGATAGAGAAAGGACGATATTTGCAATGACTGATAAGGGACATGGAATTGATTCGCTTACCTGGCAAGGATAACAAGTGTTGACGCAATGATGGAAGGAGGACTTCAGCCCAAGCTCTAGAATGGGGGGGAGGAACGGGGTGGGGAAAGTCAATTCTGGGAGAATTAAACAGATGAATATGAATATGATGCTGAGACAATATGGAAATATACGAGAGAATGTGTCCGAGCGAGGGGGAATGAGGAGAACAGTGAAGAGATAGAAACAGTAGCAAGTAGGAGGAGGAGGAGGAGCAGCAGCAGCTTGGCAGCAGGAGACGGTCAGGCCTGCAAGATAACTAGTCTACTAAGTAAACTATGGGGATGATGTATGACTCTTGATTCCCGCAAAGTGGCCGTAACAGCCAGACTAACCGCTTTCTTCGTGCCACGGCCCACCGCCCCCGTCGCGTGACGTGCTCTGACGGCATAATACCACTCCTGTCCCCTCTTGCAAACCGTATGGTAACCGTATCTGGGCTGTGTACCAACCGGCGCTGTTTGTTGCAATTACATAGTATTGTTGAGGCGGTGGCAGAGGACCCCGCTGGGATCAGGAGTCATTTTTAGGTTTCCCATTTTTTCTTTCTGTATCACCCGTGTATCATTCCTCTCTTTTTTTTAAGACACGTTTCACTAGACCCTTTTGCAAAGGATGTTCACGATAACGTTAATCGGTTCAGACAAATACAAAGTAGTCATAGTAGTAGCTAGATAGTTGGAGAAAACCACATACCAACTGTCCGTTTCTCAGGCATCATCGTTCAGCTGACGACAATCCACCAATAATACCAGATTAACAACAAATCCCAAGACCCTCAAATGAGACTTGCCCTATGCATGAATGACCGTAATGGATAGGTATGATTTGGTGATGTTTTTTTTTTTTTTTTTTTTTTCACTTTTTACCCTTTTTCACTGCATTGCATCATTTGAGGCATTTTCCCCTCTTAGTCTGCTCTTGGAATGTTGAACATAATGCATACCAAAAGTCTAGACACCTACTAGGTACCCCAGTAACATCGACGATAACACGTTAGCGCTTCGTGATACTACGAATTAGCATCTATGAAAAGGTCAGCTCAGACCCCAAAGGCAAGGCCGTCGCCCCCCGCCTTGCACGACGCAGAAACTCGGTATCAAATTGGCGGATTACGGGTTGATGATCTGTGGCCGATCCATTCTTGAAAACTCCCCGTTTGCTCTAAGAATAGGAGAGATTAAATCCCTCCCCTATTTTTTGCGATACTTGGTAAATAGATACGATGGATGGTGCGGGGGGAAACATTCTAATACTGGTAAGAACATACACTGTCCATGGTGAATCACCCCCTCTGCTGCGTCAGGGACCACTTCCCTCCCCCCTCCCCATTCATGTTGGGAAAATGAGTCGGGCTAGACCATGGTCTAGATGTAGTCTCAGCCACAGTGCCACGAAGGGGGTAATTCCTCCCCCCCCAACCCCTTTGCTACTGTTTGTATAGTGCAGAGATCTGTCAATGGGCAATATTCCCAAGACACCGAGTGACAGAGAAGATTACCAGCTTAGCTATGCAATTCATATTATTTGTACAATAAGTTCACCTCCTGTGCATTATTGTTTTCCCCTTTCTACATTGCAATTGCCAAATACTTCAGTGTGGCGGTGCAGACCGCTTCCCGGACTGATTTACTGGTGCAGCCTTCCGTGGTACAACAGGTGTATGTGTTGGTTGCCGGTCCAATATTGAGTAGTACTCCATACCAGGCTGCATGCTGCTATGCATTCATATATACCTCAGATTTTAAGGTCGTGAATGTCAAGCAATCCCGCTATTATATCCATTCTGTCGAAGCACTCGTTGAAAACGGATAGATACGGAGTATATGTAGCATGATATGAATTGAAGTATTCCATGTAGTCTATAGTAACTACTATGCATCTATCCTTGGTGGCAGGTTTTGTGGCTGCCCGTGGCGCACCCTCCCTGTCCTTATCAGATCATGAAAGGGCAACTATAAAAGTTTTGCATATACTATGATTGATATAAGAAGGCTTTCCTTATTTGCCTGCGTTGGTATAGTTGCTGTATACATCTAAAGAGTTACATATTCGCCTAATAAGTACTCTTGCAGTTTTTAAGGATTCATGATTCGTGAGTAGATATAGTAGTTGGTAAAGATCTTTCCTAGTATTCTGCAGAGTAGACATGGCTGGCAACCTTAACTTTACTACTCTGTATACTGTGTGAACATGCCGTGCAGAATTGACTAGGATGATACTACCCATTCACTACATGATAGACGTGTCTCTAAAGGGTGAGGGAGTCCTTGTATCCAACAAGTATCACATCAAGGCCTGAAGATGCACGATGAAGAGGGAAGAGAGAGGCAGGGTGATGTCCTCCAGACGAGTGGCCCTAGAACCCGCTATTCAACAACCTTCAAAAGAACAAGAAGAAGCAACCGAGGCAGTCTGATGGTCGGAACAGTCGTCTTTCCCATCATGAGGGCTGTCATCAGCAGTTGTGATGCAGCATCGACATGAAGAGGTGTACTGAGATGCATGAATGAAGAAATCCTTGCCGAAAGATAGTACTACATGATGGAAGCAACCGAAAAGCCAGGTTTTCCCAAAATCCAAACCCAAGGCAAGATGCTGGTCGGCGGTAAGGGAAAGAATTGATGGGCTTCTGGAGGTTGGAAGGGGAGGCTGGCGGGCGCCCTTGACGTGTTTGGTGTAGGAAATTATTGGTGCGCTGGTACGGAAAACTTATCCTACCGGCACAACCAGCTATCACTGGCCCCGTTCTGCCTTGACAGGTTCCTCCCCAAGCAGGCGGACTGATCTCCGGGTTCAGTCTCGAAACTCGCAACTGTCGTCCACTGGCTCACGCCACTTTCGTCTTCCTTCAATGCTTTATCTATTTCATCGTCTTTGCTCGGGATCTTCCCATCTGAGTTGATTCTTGTTATCATCTACTGACGATTTACCGTGGTCTTTCTCTAAAAAAAACAGATGCCGCATTTTTCAGGAAACACACATTAACACTACTGAGGGAAACTCTTCCCCCCTCGTGGTACAGGATCTGATCTTCCCCCATCATGCCTTCCAATTGAACCTGCTCCTTCGACTTTCATCCACTATCCATTCCATCTGATATCTCTATAATGATTCGATGCAAACATAATGACGGAGTAACAATGCCGTTCTGGCAAATAATGCTATGATACCCGGGCTTACAGCCATTGTGAAGTCTCCTGCCCCCTGTGATCCAGTACAGCAACAGCTTCTGGGAGTAATGTGAGCCTCGAGGACTGAACAATGTTCTCTAGATTGCGAAGCATCTCTTTAGCTACCGCGAATCTCTTGCTGAAAGCCACTAGAAACCGACACAATTCCACAAACGCATCCTTTGAATCGTCCTCGTTCAAGGCACTCAGAAAGACAAGGAGACTACTATTGGTGGGCTCGAGCATCTGCCTGGGTATTTGTCGCAATCCATAGGCTTCATGGTACGAGCGGAGACACTGGACAACTTGCTTCGCCGATCGAAGCTGATTTGACCGGGCCTGTTCAAATTCCGATGGATGGGACGTGGGCCCGAAATGTTGATGCTCCAAGAAATATTGGAATAGTACCATAATCGTATGGTGATATCCGATACTAAATGACAGTCAGAGATGGTGTAAACATCTGCTCTGTGAAATTCATGTTCTTACTACAGGTATAAGATCTGTGGTAGTTTCTCATCGTCGGCTTCAAAGTCCTTCGGAAGGCTGTCAAGCCATCGCTGCAAGCGAACGCATCTCTTATTGGCTGCTATCCACAGTTCGCCGATTGGCATGTCGAGCCCTTTGTCAAACAGCAGATCCGGTATGTCCGCGACAATCTCGGTCAAATCGATCATTTTGGTCATGACGAGTCGTAGATATGCCGGGTGTTTGGCGAGGCCAACCTGATTGAAGCGAGGATACGGTGTCCACATAAAATCATCATCGAGCGCAGTTACAGGATAAGGTTTATATTTCGGTGGCTTCAACTCTGCGACCTTGCGACTATGCAATGACGTTTGCCTGCAGATTCAGCCGGTTAGCTTGGTCGGTACACGTCGGGGATACCGTCATACGCGTTCAAAATAAAAAGACCCCAAGCAGTGATTGCACAAGCATGCTGCAGTCGGAGAGACATTTTCTCCCACTGGTGGTGTCCCATCCTCGGTGACATGAACATGCCAAAATCTTGTGCGAGCTGTACAGCTTGCCTGAGCATAAGCCAGCTCAGGTCATCTTTACCTTGGAATTTCAGGCTTCAACTAGTCAGCTGCTAGAATCGGTTATGTAAGTAGGGAGGGGGATCTCTTCGCAAGCCATACAAACGACTCATTAGGGCCACAGCTTGAATATTGGCCAGAGAAACGCGGCCTTCCTCCGCGTTCCACAATCGCTCTGCTTCCGCATAGAAATGCTGCCCCCGTGACGTCTCATCGTCAGGGACAGCAAAAACTTCTGGAAAGTCGGAATAGATCTTGTTGTCGTCAGAAATAGCAAATTGAAAGGAGGATGGGAGCAACGCACACTTGCCACCGCTAATATGCTATTAACAAGCAGCGAGGTGCAGCAATCTGGATTGGTTTCTCTGGTAGTCATATGCTTTAGGAACGTCTCTTGATCCACGACCTGCAATAACGGATGATCCCAAGTGAAGTACAACGATATTAGGTGCGAAACAAGATGGTCATCATTAGTAACCACTGTCCAAGGCCCGGAAGATACCTGAAACAGGGGAATATCACATAGCCTCTCCACCGTTATCCGCAAGTGGGCATCGACAACTGGGCGCTCGTGCTGCGATGGGATATCTTCCGCAGGCCCAACGCTCTTGGAGTGCTCTGAACTTGCGTCACTGAAATCAGTGGCAGGAGCGTCGATAATAGTGACGAGGTCGTTCAGTTGGGCATTGCCACGGATCTTTTCCAGCATCTGTCGGGCCTTTTCTTCATCTGAGGATCGAAGCATTTCGAGAAGCGAGTATAGCAGGCCTCGGTAGTACTCTAGCTCTCCTTGGGTGCGCCTCGCAGCGACCTTTCGCCTCAAGTCGAGCGTCTCATCGAAGATGCATCCCCCAGTGTTTTGGCATGCCTTACAAGGTGGCGGGCGTCCGCTGCACTGTGATCCTTCTTCGTTAGCAGGAGCGCGAAATAGGTGAATGGGCAGATGAAGGGCAAGGATACAGGGTACTTCGTCAGGAGAGAGGCCCTGGTTTGCCAAATATGATTCAGTGAGACACGCATGCACACAGAGTCTCCCTCCCTCCCTGTGTTTCCCCACTGCTTGTATGCAGAACTAAGAGTCCAGGTATTACCTTTCGCTTTGCCTGCTTGCATGGCAAACATGCTGTCGAATTCTTCCTTGACTTGGCCAATGTGGTTGATCCAGTTGCAACGGGGCCTCGGGGCCCAGGGGCTAGGGAGGGAAGATGTTTGCCTTGGTTTTCGGTGTTCATTTCAGGCGACGATGCTCCCCCTCGGGCGAAGGAAAGGTAGCTATGAGATGATGGAGAAATGCTGTCGCATCGCTGATTAGTGGTCAAGGCTGCTCTTGGGTCAGTCGGATCGCACGACATGAATATCGCAATAAGACGTACGGCAATACTTTTTTAATCTGAACCAATTATTCTTGGGGGGGAAGGACTGCAAAGAAAACGGATTTCGGCTCAGGAACACGGGCGAAAATGCTAAATCACCTCACCCTATACAAAAATTCGGTATGGAGCGACCTTGATGGTTCAACTCTCATGCAAAGAACAACCTATTCCGGGATACCTGTCAATAGGCATAATTCGTCAAACACGGATGCCAGCCTTTCAACGGTCGGTGGTTGTTGCTGATGATTTGTGCCGCGGTGACAACAAGACCCAGTGGGGTTGGGGAGACGATTTCACCCTAGAGGTGATCAAATGGTTCAACAAATCGAGAACACCATGATACACGTGATCATAGACTCCTTCTATACGAGAGCCTGGGGATGGGAAGGGGCAGGGCTGGCAGAAGCAGAAAGACTTACCAGATAACTAACTGCCCGGGACCATGACTAACGACCATCACATCTAAGCCAAAGCGCTTGCATGGTTTGAAAGACCCCTCAGCGGGAAGCAAACAAGCATCAATACCGGTTATTCTTGGGGCAAAATCCGATCCCTAACAAGGGGCCCTGCTCAAAAAGGACCCCGAATACTACAAGTGGACAGTTCTCCCGATTTCCTCCCCAAGGTTCCTCGATGGGCAGAGGTCTGGCAGCAGCGCGAGGCGCATCGGAGCGATCCTGTCGTGGTATTGGTTACGGCCCTATACCGTTCGTTCCGGTCCGATCTACATGTAATGACACTATGTTCGCATTCCCTAAGCAAATGACTAGTGTCAATGTCTCATGGCCCTATATGTGAGGAAGCTTGGGTGTCACTAGCCCAGACGCATCCTAGCCAGGAAGCCTGGAATGTCCGCACAAGGCGAGATAACACTTAAGGTGACAGGTATGCACGGAGTCCCTCGGACTGCAATTGGTCTACACGGTACCCTCAGGCCGTCAAATAAGCGTGCCACAAGGTAGGCCAGGAAGGCTCGCGCCCATCTTGCTGCTACTGCCGTCGATTCATTCCAGTGCACTGTTGACTAGGATAAGGGATCCAGGACTCGAATGCATAACAATACATGACATAGGCCAAACTCTACCTGCGGGTACCCGTTCCTAGCGATCTTACAGGCCGGGTAAAACAGCCATCGGGCCAGCGAACCGCAAAACAAAGTAAGGGAGAGTTTTTGGCAAAGCACACAAGGCGGAGGGGGTAAAAATGGAAAAAGAGGCGGGCAATATGGCAGACAGGTGCTCTAAGCCGACACCCGATATGCAGCAAATACAATAGGTGGAAACGTTCACCGACCCGCAACACGATGGAATAGCACTGGCTAGAGGACTCCAGATCCTAGACTGGTAGAGGTTGAGGTCCACCATAAATCAGGTCGCCGGTCCACTCCTTGAAAACGAATAGCTACCGAACCAGACTGCTTCTTACATCAGCCCAGCCGGCTCGCCTGTCAGGATGGGGGCTCGCATCCTTTCACTGCGTCCTTACTACGCGGCGAACGATGCTCCGTTCTAGCCTGCCATGGCATGGCCCCGCAGCAGTTTCTCGACTGATCCTGGTTAGCAACTCGATATTGGCGCCGTCTTATGTGGCTTGCTCGAACCAATGTGGGTTGTGCGGTGCAAAGTTTCGTGGGCGTGACGCCTCGTAGCAAATTCGGCTGAGCGGGTACAAGATGGCGATTTGGGACTGGGTCTACTGACTTGAGAACAGAGCCTTCTTGCAGTGGGACTGTGACCAGAAACTAGAGCTCTCGTGTCATAAGCTTAAATCAAGGACCAGAGATCCATATTCTCTTGACAGAGTATGGCTGTTATCCTCCTTGCAGTATAGGGACGGGAGGGGCGCGAGCTCGCTCAAAACCCCATCTCCACATAGAACCTGCGGCGAGGGTCGCGCCTGTCGATCATTAATAGTCCAGAGTTACATTGGGCCGGTCATCTGTTGCCGTGGGATCCTGGAGGCAAGTGTGCACACGCGGCTTGGGATACTCTCAGCAGAGGGTCACGATGAATGGGTCGGATCACCTGACAGCCCGCAGCACGTCCGATTTGCGCAGAAACGGCCTTTTACATCACTGTGACATGAACCTCCTTCAATCTTCGCTCTGTTACGAGGGGAACCAGGCTTTTTTACTTACATTTTGTTGGTGTCAACCGATGCTGGCCCTCCTTTCCTATATCGCCACCGATCACGATGACTGGACCATGGCCCGATTTTGCATACCAGCAGCACGCGAGCTCCCCAGCATTTCAAATTCCTCGAACTCTGGGGCAACGCTTTTTCGGCCGGAGTCTGCCAGGGGGTTGGACGTTAGTAAGGTCCAAGCGCTTGGCATGATAGCTCTCTCTGCACCAAAAAAGCATCGATCCAATCATCACAACTCATCCTTACCTCCGCGGTCTGAGCGCCAATCAGACATGCAGACCCGGTCTCCGCCCCATCGTAGGCCATCCGCCCTACAGACAGCTTGCCTAGACGTTCGACATGAACAGTTTATTTTTCTCAACAATAGCCCCCCTCCCCTCTTCCTGCAACCTCACCGTTGAGGATACTGACAGGCAGCCCGATGACCCGACAATAACATTCTTCTGTTCGGGCACCACCCGGAAAGGAGACCCAAGAGCTGGGCATCCATGGTTATACAAGTAGCCGTTGTACAAAGTGCTTTCCCATTACAGTTTCCTCTTCACCACTTGGGCTGTCCATGTGGCTCAAATAAACCCCGAGGCTTTTCTTTATCCTTGCGTGCGGTGTCTGCAGGAGTTAGCTAATAAAGTTCCAGACAAGCACTCGAGTCACACTACTAATGATCTGTTGTCTCCAATCAAAAAGGTTGCGACATGCATCCACGGCATTCCAGTCTTTCTGGGTGCTTCTAGCCTTCCTAGCTCTACCGAGGGTCCATGCGGGTTCATGATAGCCAAGGATAACTAGTATATTTTGCTTTTATTTGCTCCAGATGCTCTAACTCAAAAGGTATGTGCCTCTGGACTTTTGTGGAATGCAACGCGCACTTCTTGGTCGGGCGTAGGTATGGAGGTCAATGGATCGAAGTACTCTGCAGAAATTGTTTCACCTCCACATATACTTGTGACGGGACTATTCGGCTCGCAGTGAAAGTCCCACGGAATCTAAGCACCAATAACTAAATACCGTGTCCGCTTTCGATGAAAGGGACAATCATACTCTGAGACTGAAATAGCTGGAAAGCCAGAAAGAAGCTTACAAGCATGATTCTAGTCGACCAGCTATTGCTAACCATTCAACAAGCTCTTAATCAATACCTACCTAGGCCACAAAGACCTTTCATTTAAGCGAAAGGGTAACCTTTCAAGATATTGCCTAATCAAGGCGAACATGACTCCTTTCACCCTCCGTTTCCGGAGTGATAAGCCGCCGTCTATCTAATCAGAAGACGACACCTCCTTCGGTTAGCATCGGTACGAGGGGCTCAACGCATCAAGTCGATCGATATGCATACGATGGAGTCCGCTGTCAGATATAGAAATGTATCGAATCTGTTACCAAATTGACGCGACAAAGAGACCGACATCAGCCTATCACCGTTATGTCCTGTTAGTTCGCGCCCTGTCAAGAACAACGGCGGGACGTTGCATATCGCGTGGAGACTCGGATATCGATGGCAAAAAAGGAGTTGTCCCATAGAATCAAGGCACCCGAACCGGCAAGTCACTGTAAAAACTTTTTTTCTTGGTTTACCCTTTCCCCTCCGCGGGGTTTGTCTAGGTGCTCCTTAAATTCAGTAGATAGAATCATCGGTTCCTCCTCGTCTGTAGAAAAAGAAAAAAATTTTGCCATCTCAATTGCTCTCTTACCACTCGCTTTGCCACCGAACAATCTCTTTTTCTTTCCGCTCGGGTTACGGAACCGAAAGTTGACGCATAAGGTACTTCGAACGGATCGCCAGGGTCAGTCAACTTATTCGGTGACTCATAAAGCCTGTTTCGTTGCGGAATTCACTCGCGCCCAATCAATTTTTCCAATTCCGCATATCCTATTAAATACCTTTTCTTTTTCCTTGATCACTTCCCTCGCAAATCACGCAAATCATACATCAACGCAATAATGGGTTCTGTTGCGCCTTCTCCCGCCGAGCTCGACGCCTCCGTCGTCAAGGTCACCCGCTCGACCAACCTTCGCGATGTGCCTCTTCCTGGCTCTCCCGAGGAATTGAGCCACTCCCACTGCACCGACCACATGGTCACTGCTCGTTGGACCGTCGCCAATGGCTGGGAGACTCCTGAAGTTCGACCATTCGAGAACCTGAGCATCCCTCCCACGGCCTCGTGTCTGCACTATGCCACCGAATGCTTCGAGGGTATGAAGGTGTACCGGGGATTCGATGGCAAGCTGCGTCTGTTCCGGCCCGACTGCAATGGCGAGCGTCTGATGAACAGCGCCAAGCGCACCTCTTTGCCCTCGTTCCGGTATGAGGAGATCAAGCGTCTCATTGCCAAGTTGATGCAGATCGATGGACCTCGTAAGTTTGAACCCGAACCCGATTGCTGGATGTGACCTCCGAGCTTCGATGAACTGACAAACCCTCGTCCTTTGTAGGTTGGTTACCCAAGGATCAACCTGGTCGTTTCCTCTACCTCCGTCCCGCGTTGATTGGCAGCGGCCCACACCTCGGCGTCCAGACTCCCAAGGAAGCCCTTCTTTTCATCATCGCCGTGCCGTGGCCTGACCCCTCGAAGAAGCAGTCCGAGCAGCCTGGTGTTCCTCATGGATTGAAGCTTTACGCTTCTCAGCCTGATAGCATTCGTGCTTGGCCTGGTGGTTTCGGATACGCCAAGCTCGGCGCCAACTATGGTCCGTCGTTGCTGGCGCATGGCAAGGCGCAGGAGCTTGGGTTCGATCAGGTGCTATGGCTGTTCGGTGAGGATCGTCAGGTTACGGAGGCGGGTGCTAGTAACTTCTTCATTGTGTGGGAGAACAAGGAGACGAAGAAGCTGGAGCTGGTGACTCCTTCGTTGGAGAGTCAGCTCATTCTTCCGGGTGTTACTCGTCGTAGTGTGTTGGAGCTGGCTAGGGAACGTCTGACTCAGTCGGTGGGCAAGCTGGCTCCTGTTGATGTAGTCGAGAAGCACTTCACTATCGGTGATGTCGAGGAGGCTTGGAAGGAGGGCAGGATCGTGGAGTCGTTTGTCTGTGGTACTGCTGTGAGTTTTCCCTTTTTTTTCTACTTCACTCTGTGTGTATGGTGACTAACTGTGACATTCAGTACTTCGTCACTCCTGTCAAGCTCATCCGCAGCGGAGACGTAGATATGAACATGCAGGAGGCTGGTGTTGAACTCGCCGGATATGCCGCTCAGATCAAGTCCTGGCTCGAGGCCATCATGTTCGGAATGAAGGGCGAGGCGACCCATGAGTGGGGATACGTCATTGATGGTGAAGTTGAACAATAAGCGCTGACAGCGATGATGATCTTGATGATGACGATGTTTTGCAGGAAGGGATTAGAGCTACTGTATATACTTGACTTTATTTCTCTGGTACTTTTTTTTAGAGTAGAATGATAGACTCATGTGACATGCCGCGTTTGTTTTGGACGGATGCCTCCGATGCTAGTAGTATTCTACAGTTGAACCCGATAGAAAGTGCAGCCATGAATATATAAACAGGATACTAGTAATGAAGGTGTGTGGCATCCTTACATCTATTAAGTTTTTTCACTAACTACCATACACTATTGGAATAATTAGTGGAGACTACACATTATATACCCGTACAGATAGTTTGGAGTCAGACAGGTTATTTATGCAAGTTCTTACTAGTAGCCATAACCTCAACGAACAGTGCAGCGACATTCTAAGCGTACTACGTAATAGATATTGTAGGCTTTAAATGATTGCCTTCTTTTGGTTATCCAATAATTACTAACTGCCAGTAAGATAAATGTATGTGTATATATATATATATATATATTTACACCTGTTCGCCCAGAATAATATCATCCAATTTTTATCCGACAATGCGTCTTTTCACTCCAATTACCCTCCTTCTTGTTACTACTACTATTGCTCCAGCCTGGGCTGCAGTGGATGCCGGCCAAGATTCAGATCACATTTGCAACGCTAATGAAGTACGTCTCTATCATGATTCGACCATATTTTACTTCTTGGTATACCTCTTGTGAAAATTTCAGACTACTAACACAAGTACTTATGTTTAGAAATGCCGTTATACTACCGACTACCCGATAGAAGACTTCAACCCACCTGCCAGGGATTGCACATGTCCTACAGGGGTAAGTAAGCGGATGAAACAACATGCACTGGTTGTCTGTAACTGACTGCTGCTATCCTAGTCTGAGTGCACTTTTGAAAAGGATGATATGTGGAATAGCGCTGTAAGTCGAGAGATTCATACATTACTACTACTACTACTACTACTACTACTATTAGGACTATTATACTAACATCTATTTGCAGATACACGTATACACATGCCAGTAGAACCCCCCATTCCCTGAGTCGGTCATCTTAGGACAGGTCTACATCACTTTGACATGAAATTTCGTCTCCAATAACAAATAATTATCCGCTGGTTGGTGTGTTGGGATGTCGGAAGATCTTCTGTTCAGTGTGTGCTTGGGTGCGAGTTCTATCTATATACTAACTCGTACCTCAGCCATTATTTTGCTCCGATAGAGGCTTAAGTAGGAAATACTACTAATGTAGCTCATGGCTACGAGGCGGTATCAGGTTTCGAACCTTGTGTGTGATATAGTAAGGCTCTTGCTGAATCTGTAGAGGATGCTACTACTAGTAGTAACGATAGTATATTCTAGTCCGCTTTGGCTACCAGATAGTATACTATTCACCCAGCAGTTGCTAGTCTCTACAGATCTGCAGTGCCAACCTGGAAATCAAGACCAGACCCACTGCTAGTCTGTTCATGATAAGTATGGGTAGTTGTAAACATATATGCCCTGAGAAGTTATCATTCTTTTCTCTTATAGCTGATGGATGCCTCCTCAAGCCTCTCCCATATCTACACGATCCTGCGCGGAATCGTCTCCCAGATCTACCACCATCGGAGCATACTCTCCTAGCTCGTCGTCTTCATCATCATCGTGCATGTCAAGCTCCACCTGTTCGCCATCCTCCAGTTGGACCATACCCCGCCGAACAAAGACTTCACGGTTCAGCTCCCAGTCATATTCCTCCTTGACCCAAGCCTCGAGCTTGTCAAACTCCACCTTCACCAATGACTCCGTCCCATCGACGATCTCATAAAGCGACCGTCTAAACTTCACAAGTAGTCTTCGCAGGAACTCACCACCTTCCTCACCATCAAGGTCAAACAGTCCTCCTTCGACATCATCACATCTCTTGAGCTGTAGTAAAAGCAACCTCAGCACCCCAGCCACCAAGGCCTCTCTATCCCGTATAGCCGCCCGGCACGTCAAAATTAATTCCAACAGCCTCTTCCACTGCTGAAGACAAGAGTAATTCATGAGCGTCAAGATCATCAAGAACGCAAACTGCAATTCCCCTAGCACCTGAGCCTCCCCAGCCCTCTCATCACCCTCAGAAACCCTATGTATCAAGTCACCCAACGCCCACGAGCGATCCTGCGCAGCCTCCGTCCTCTCACGCCCAATCGCCCCCTCCCGCCACGTCCTCTTCAAATCAACCGGCAGGAATCCGAACTGACTCTCCTTCTCCCCCGTAACCTTCTCCAATTCCTCCGTCGCCTCCGCCGAATCCATAAGCCCAGGTATAACATCCGTATCTCTTTGCGCCGAGCTAGCAGACGTAACCATCCACCGCGGCCGACCATCCACATCCAAAGCCGGATCGCCCACAACGCGCGTCAAAAGCCGCGGCGTCAATTTATCCGTCAATTCCTTCCAAGTCTGCCTTCCTTCTTGCTCGTCCTCCTCATCGACTTCAAGCTGTACCGGATGTCCAGCATTCTGTTGCGCCAAAGCCGCCGGCGAGACTCGACTGCGGTGGCGGAACAGTCCTCCCCTTTGCCATATAGCTCCCAGATTCGCTTTATGGCGCATTGCTTCTTGTTTGTCTGCGTCGCTGTCGATGGTTAACGGGGCTAGGGTCTCGGTGTCGGTGTTCCATTTCCAGACAATTATGTCGGCGCCGGGGTGCGAGGGGTTGCTAAGAGAGAGCGCGATGCCGGCTTGGGCTTCGCTGAGTTTGGTTATGTCACCGACGTAGAACCAACCGCCGCTTCGGAGGGATAGACTCTCTGTTGTTCCGGTGTAAAGGAAGTGCCATCCTGAGGGAAGGTCGCGGATTCCGTGGAAGTTGGGGGTCGAGGTGAAGGTTATGAGGTCAATGCCGACAAAGGTCTTTGGTGGGAGGTGGGGGACGAGGATCGTAGGGGAGGGCGATAATGTGGATGTCATGTCTGCCTTGTAAGTATTGTCAAGTGTGAGTTGGATTTCTTAATGGTGGGATAGCTGTGTTTAGTCGTGTCTGCTTGTGAAAAGATCGAATCGCAAAGCTGACGTCAAACCAGATTAAGGCCGGATGGGGTAATGGCAGTTGATGTTGGTATATCACGTAGTATGGCGGAGGGTGCAGTTAATGCATGGAAGATATTTGATGAGTCCAGAATCGACGTGTAAGAAATTGTGGTAGGTACAGGAAGGTGGAGGGGAGCTCTGGGTAGATCGATAATATGTGCTTATCTTAGCTTGATTGCGGGATAAGGAGCCCGGCTACGGAAGATCAAAATCCAATGCCTAACATTCACAAGCGCAAGATATATCGAGGTGCAGGAATCAACCACTGTCAAGTTGCATGATTCTATACGCATATTCTATTTACTGTGATTCTCTACACATACAAGTTACACTCAAGGACCACATCAGTTCTAGGTTCAGTTATATTGACTATAGCAACCGCCACACAGACAGCAGACTACCTAAATCCAGAACCGAAAGACACACTTTTGGGTATGTAATAAATTGAAGACCAGGCGATAAAGGCCGTTCTTCGCGTTTATTCCATCCACATACGGCAAGCAAGGCCAAGTCCGCTCCAATCCAACCATGCGGAGAAGCTCCGCACAACTTGGAAGAGATGAACCCGCACATGCTTACAAACGACGACCACGGCGACCACCCTTGCGACGAGTAGAGTCGGAGGGAGTGGGGGTGACGTCCTCGATACGGCCGATTCTCATGCCGGAACGGGCAAGAGCACGGAGGGCGGACTGAGCACCGGGACCGGGGGTCTTGGTGCCGTTACCTATATCCAGTATTAGTTTGTCTCTTGAGTGGTGCTTTCATAGCGCTCGTTGACATACCACCAGTGGCACGGATCTTGATGTGGAGGGCGTTGATGCCAAGCTCCTTGCAGCGAGCAGCAACATCCTGAGCAGCCAACATGGCAGCGTAGGGGGAAGACTCGTCACGGTCAGCCTTGACCTTCATACCACCGGTGACACGGCAGATGGTTTCGCGACCACTGTTATCTCAATCGTTAGCCAACTGTGTCCCGCCAAACAGCGTTTGCGACAATCCACGATATCCGACTCCTAGTCCATTGTGGGCGCAAAATGTTCACCGGAGGACGGAGTTTCGGGCTGTCGATAATCGGGGTATTTAAGATGTGACGAACCTCAGATCGGTGACGTGGACGAAGGTATCGTTGAAGGAGGCAAAGATACGGGCAACACCGAAAACGAGCTTGCCTGCAAATCATCTCAAATTAGACATGGTCTCGATCGCAAATTTGTAGAGCGTGCACTGGGTTGTACATACCATCTCCGGCCAAAGGACCGAGAGAGACGTTCTCCTTGGCAGCACCGGCGGTCTTCTTGGGAGCCATTTTGTCGACTTGCTGGGGTAGTGGGATGGAATATGGAAGGGAAGGAAAAAGAGAAGTTCGATAGGCCTCAAATGGCTTGGATACAGAAAATGACTGGTGTGTGCCCTACCCACGGCGGCTCACATTCTGATTGGCTGAGAGTTGATCAAGGGCGGTGGGCAAGCGAGTGTTGTAGCCTGAGGCCGCGGAACCGCGGTGAATCAACTCGATGACTCTTTCTGTGACAGGCACTGTAACGCCGGATGGGCAGTCGGCCCGGTTTGGTGCTCCTCCCAGCACTATTTAAAATTTCTGCTGCAACCTCCCGAGCTATAACTTTCTTCTTTCTCCTCATATCCAATCAGGCAGACAGTCGGACTCTGTGGTTTTGTCTGCTGGCTTGTTTATTGGCTCAATTGAGCGTGTCGCGCAGCCTAGTTTCTCACAACAAACAAGACTGAACGAGGACTAATCCAACTAGCAAACATGGGCTTCACCAAGGAATCAGCCACGATCGGCATCATTGGCATGGGAGACATGGGCAAGATGTACGCCCAGCGTCTGAGCGCTGCCGGATGGAGGTAATATTTAAACAAGTGTCCTTCCCAGTCAGTTGTTTCCGATTATCACCCTGGTGGTGTGTGTTATTGTAATAGGTGAGCATCCTCTTCTGTCCTTATTTCTCTCGCTTTCCCCATCCTCCCCCCCTCTTTGGATGATGACTTGAGTGCATTTGGCTCGAGTATGGCCTGGAGGTAAGCTCTCCTACCTTGGTAGGTTTGCGACTCCGCCAGACCGTCAATGATGTAACATCTCAGCTACCTATATTTCTTTGTCTGAAACCCAAAGCTATCAACATTTATGATGATTGATTCACACACATTTGCGCATAATGGACTTGTGCTAACCATTCTGCCAAACTAGGTTCTCGCGTTGTATATCTTTAGAGCAAAGCATCAAGCCGGACTGGATTAGCTATACTAACTATTTACTCTTCTTATTTATCAAGGATTAATGCATGTGACAAACCCGACTCGTATGAGCGTCTTTTAAAAGAATTCGAATCCACAGTACGTCCATGATACTTCACAGCTCGCGCTGTCCAGACATAAACTCATCCTTCATAAAACCAAAAAGCAAAATGTCACTATCTTTCCCAATGGCCACCTGGTTTCCAGAATAAGCGATTACATTATTTACAGTGTAGAGGCCGGTGTCATCGACAAGGTAGTGGAAATGTATGGCCCGTGTATGTATTTCAAGTTGCAAAGGCTTGCTTGCTTGCTGCGCCCTTATATTTGCATCATGAATTTGAAATGTGCCTGTCTGACTTGTGGAAAATCACACAAAAAGCTACCAAGGTCGGTGCAATCGTCGGTGGTCAAACGTCCTGCAAGGCCCCTGAGCTCGCGGCTTTCGACAAACACCTTCCCAAGGACGTAGAGATCGTATCATGCCATTCGCTACATGGCCCTCAAGTCAACCCCAAGGGTCAACCTCTGGTACGCTGCTGTCTGCCTGCTTGCCTGCCTGTCTGTTATTTGCTTGGAGCATATTATATGCCCTCAAGACCCAAGATCGCACAGGACAATGTATGATAACATAACGCCCGTTTGCCTATTTTGTGTCTAGGTCTTGATCCAGCACCGTGCCTCCGATGAAAGCCTCAACTTCGTCAAGGAAGTCCTGTCATGCTTCGAATCCAAGTTCGTTTTCCTCTCCGGAGAGATGCATGATCGCATCACGGCAGATACCCAGGCCGTCACCCATGCGGCCTTCCTGAGCATGGGAACAGCATGGCAGGCCAACCAGCAATTCCCCTGGGAGATTAACCGTTGGGTGGGAGGCATCGAGAACGTGAAGATCAACATCACCCTACGCATCTACTCCAACAAGTGGCACGTGTACGCCGGTCTTGCCATCTTGAACCCAGCGGCGAAGAAGCAGATTCGGCAGTATGCAGAGTCCGTGACGGATCTGTACAAGCTCATGATTGAGGGCCGCCGAGACGAACTCAAACGCCGTGTCAGAGCTGCAGGGGAGGCCGTTTTCAAAGCGGGTACCAACGGCCAGGATCTGCTGTTGAAGGATGAAGTCCTCGACCGTTTCTCCCTGTCAAACCGGGAACGTGAGCAGGCTCCTCCGAACAGCCATCTCAGTCTGCTTGCCATCGTTGACTGTTGGTCCAAACTTGGAATTGTCCCCTATGATCATATGATCTGTTCCACGCCTGTGAGTTGCTTTGTCCCTTGCTTTCCATGGCGTTCCTGCCTTCATCTTATTTTTTTCTGTTATTCCCCGCGCAATTTATGCGATGTAACGTTGCTTTAAAGTCAAAGTCTAATCATCGCGCGCGCATGTGCGTGCAATCTATATAGCTTTTCCGTCTCTGGCTGGGCGTCACGGAATACCTCTTCCGCAATCCCGAACTCCTCGAGGCGGCCCTCGACACTGCAGTCGACGATAAGACGTTCCGTTCGGATGACCTGGAATTTACCTTTGCAGCTCGCGTGAGTACCAACCCTGTTTAGCTTCAAAAAAAGACCCTGGCCGCGTTTGTGCGGTTTTTATTCCAGTCCAATGGATATGGATGGGAACCCAACCCCTCCTCCAATGCACATTTATTCCGATTTGTACAACAACAGCACCACTGACGTCATTCACTATAAATTCGTGCAGGCATGGTCGGACTGCGTATCGTTCGGTGATTTCGAATCCTACCGCGACCGGTTCGAGCGGATCCAGCAGTACTTTGCTCCCCGATTCCCCGAAGCCGTCAAGCTGGGCAACGAAATGATGAAGACCATTCTGGAGAAGACTGCAACGGGCCAAGCCTAGTATAGGAGAAGACACACCAAAAGAGATGAAAATCGAGTAATGCCAATGGCTCCTCCCTAAGTCTAAAAGCCCAATCACAAGAAGAAGCCGGCTAGGGAAAGTCGGGTAGCGCGCCTAGAGTAGGTGGATGTCTCTGCGCCAGTCCGGCAGGATCGGAGAGGGGGGCAATCCATAATAATCATACTCATAATAATACACTAATGATATTAATAATAATGTGTAATAAGCAGCAACTGTCTCGCTCGTTGGATAACAACGACGACTGGTAACAACAGTGGAACTTTGGTAGACGTACGGGGAGTATCCCTTGAACTAATCGCAATCGGGCAGATAAGGGTAACCCTTGAAATGTTGTTGACAGGGTTTCCTTCCCGAGGTCGAACGAGAGGCATGGAAAGTCATGGATCTTTCTTTCTTGATGTCAGGCAAGAATGGCTATTATTGTTTCCTCCTTTAACTGTCGTTGTTCCGTGTGGTTGGAGCAGCACTTGGTATGCTGAATGGGTATGTATGTATGTATGTATGTATGTACGTAGTAGTATGTTTTTGTTCACGCGCGCGGGGGCTCAGGTCGCTCGCACTCTTCTGCGCACGGAATATTCCACCGTATCGCTATGGGCTGGGCTTTATCCATTTTGGGCAATTCGCATACGTTTCATGGGTCCCGCTGTGGCAGTCACTAAGATGCTAAGCCAGGATGTTATTAGTCCAAGCGGTGGCTAAAGGTACTAGGCTGCTTGGTGTCGTATCTTTGAGAGGTGCCAAAACTCTGGAATGGGGATCGGAGACCCAATCCGATCCCAACAGACTTGAGGAGGGTAGTATCGTTCTTGGTCCTCTTGCATGAATAGATAATTGAGTAAAGTGTGTGTGTGTGTGTGTGTGTGTGTGTGTGTGTGTGTGTGTGTGTGTGCGCGCATTCCGAAGCGACTAGCTACTGCTAGAGCCGAGATCTTATATTACTTGCATGACCTGCTTTGGGAAAACAAAAGGTTGATCTGTATGCTGCATGACGTTTTGAACGGAGACCCTCCTTTGAGGCTTCAGCCCCGGGTCGTGGGAAATCCGCGGTTCCGGTAGGGGAGATGGATTTACGGAGTACGTCGGATCATTTTAATCAATTGTTCTCCGGATGGATACTAAACTTTGAATGCCATGAGTCTCGGGCGAGAAGGATAAGATTCACAAAGATATATGGTAGTATTGGTAATGGTCCGGAGCAGACCGTTTTTCTTGGGGCACGTCGAAGGTTGTGCTCGATCGATTAATCTTGGCATCGATGCACTGCTAAGTCCAAAGCGGTTGGTTGCAGCCTAGCTGGATATTGATAGTTCATGAACTTGTCGTATACAAAGTAATTTAAAAGCGCTATCTGTGCGGACCAGGCCGTCTTGTGGCGTAGTGTCGTATCTGCTGGGGTATGCTAGGATAATTACGATCCAGGCTATGGCGCTTCCTGGCCTGCATCATCGTCTGCATGGCCATTGTCTTTTCAAGCCACCAGATGATGTAGTGGTTGTCGAAGTGGGGTATCACATGGCTGCACTATTTGCATGGCAAAATTTTTTTGCTTGCGAGGTGCTAAGAATAACCGAGCTGTGGACTGATCGAGTTTGGAGGCGTCGGAGGCTCGGAGAAGCCTTGCGTTATTGGCCTAGTCCGCCCTAGACGAGTCACAATAATGACAGCTTCAGGAGCCCAAAACATAGGGGGCGTCCGGCCCAGGGTGGTCCTGCTTCTTTTCTGAAACCATGCTGCGCAACCTTTCCCCATACACTTTTTCATGTCTGTACTCCGCTGCACGCAACAGGCCATACTGACTGTCGGTCAACCCATGAGAACGTGCGGAAATTGCTGAGTTGTTCATATGCTTTGGGAGACGCGTAGAAAGCGTATAGGGATACGGTGTTCGTTTTTTGGTGCATAAACCATGGTCATGATGAGACTTTTTACTTCTTGCCCCCCTCCTCTTGGTTTCCCATTCGCCTCGAACCCCTTTTCATGGGAAAAGAAAAAGGGTTAAGCCCAGCATTTTCCAACCCAAGGTTGCCCGGCTGTCCTATTTCAAGAATGGTAAAACAGCCGTCTCAAGACCTCGCAATCGGCGAAGACCTCGCCCGTGGAAAGCCAGTAAACGAAGGTCCCGTCTCCCGGCTCGACCGTGTGATTGGATCCGCTATTCCGTCGGCCCACCCCTGGATGAGCAGCGAAAGAACGCCAGGATCGGTGAGAATACGACTGCTTCCGAGATCCGAGAACTTGGTCTTAGCTACGGAAGGCGGATGCTGATTGGCAGCGGTGGTCCTGCACAGGATTCGTGCGTCCGAGAAAGTCGTGTGGGTGACCACTCATGTCTAGTGACGAAAGGGTCCATGATTGGCGCCAGGAACATTAAGCGGACTTGTGAGCTCGACGATAGCAAGTAGCAGTGGACTAGATAGTAGAGAACCTGTAGGTAGCTATTACACCGGGGCCACTTTGTAGGTAAGAACTCAGTTTTGAGAAAAGTAGATGAGTGGCTCCCAATGACGATGCAATGATAATAAACAATGGGGGGTGGTGGTGATGATGATGGTGGAAGGGGAGAAAGCTGAGTGAGAGATGGAAAAAACAACCGGGATACCTGTATCTGGATAGAACTTACAGTACTAACTTAGGTACTCTTATTCCGGTTCGCCTTCCGGAGTACTTTTACTCCGATCTCTGGTAAGAATGGAGGATAGATCATTTTACCATAGCCTCTTGGGATTGAGAACAGGTCAAGAAAGGTGTAACTAAACGACAAAGCAATATCTAGTTTCGTTTGTAGATGATGGATGGACCTTCAACAAACGAACAACAGATGCGTGCCAGTGAGGGAAGGGGACCGGGGGGAAGGGAAGAACAACAGAAGGAATAACAAGGGAAAAAGGACTGAGTTGATGGGTCCGGCTGCAGGCTGTAGTCTGATTGATCAGCTGCTGCTCTCCGACCCAATTGGCATGTCTCCATCCATTGAACGGTCGAAAATCATGATGCTGGATTCCCGGCAGAAGTTCTTTTTCGCCTTTTTTGCCCCCCCCCCCCCTCTCTACAGTCTACGTACTGTGTATTACTCTTCCACCCACCCACACACACACACACCCCCCCTCTCCGAGAGAGTCTGTCGGACTGTCTTTCTAACTAGTAACTACTGTACTAGTGTCCTTCCTTCCCTCCCAGAAACCCACACCCACAACCCAGTCACCCACACCCACCCCCCCCCCCCCCCCAAGAAACCCAAATTCAATCCAGGCTCCTCTCCCGTCTGCAAATAAGCACCCAAACGAAAGTTGCGCATGGACCCAACTCCATGGATATGGCATAGTCCCATCCTGGTTTGATTTAATGCCCACTAGGCAGTCATCGTACCTTGGGTTGGAAATCCCCCTTCTCCGGCTGCTAGTATGGTTTGGGACATTGCTGGGCTCAGTCTCCAGCGCTCTGTCTGGGCACAAGCTGGCGAGCACAGACCATGTGGCCATTCCACTCCAAAATATGTCCACTGAGAAGTCGGAGAGGCGTGGCAGCTGGGGGAACTTTAAATTGGGAAAAACCCGAAGATTTTCGCCATGGTTGATCTGAGAAAAAATCAAGGTACCCGCTTGCCTTGCGCGGTGGGCATATCTATCTGACAATCGCCCATTTTGATTGACGATCTTCTCCTTTCGTGGGCCCAATCTTGCTTCCTATCGCTGTTGGATCTGAATAGACTCGATTGCCTTCACTCGCCCTTCTGCCCTTTCTGTCTCCCTGGCAGCTGCTAGTCTGTCCATCGGAGGGTGTTCGCCCGCATGGTAGCGTGATCTTCCCATCTTCTCATCGTTGTGATTGCCATGCAGATCTGTCGCATGGCATCTGTGGCACATCACTATGTGGCTTAGGACAATCATGCACCTTTCGATTCTTCAATTGCTCTAAGTATGAACAGCCCTTGTTTCCCCTGTCCCTCCGAACATGGCACCTATGCTCTAGCAATCCCTTGCCAAATGGACGTGACCGCGGTACCCTTCCATCGTCGTCGAGACTCATTGATGGTTCATGACGAACATGGGGGGACTTTCAGTCTTGTATACCGAAAGAAACCCAGTAGATGTCGATTTTCCAAAGAATGCTTGGTCTTTACTGACAGAATTTGTCTGCGCAGTGATGTTTCCCATCTCGTCTATCTATGAATATCAGACTTCCAGCAGCAACTGCTAAGATTCCAGCATCTACACTCCCAGGAAACCTCCACCAGAAGGTGTCGCCCACACGCAATCCTGGTTACATTCTATTCAGGACAGTCCTTTTGTGATACTATTCCTTTGGTATCCTTATATTCTTTCTCATTGTATTATTCGTGAAGTGGCTTGGGTCCGCTGTCTCCTCTCATTTTCTCTACATTTACACTGCATCGACCATCAGTCACCTATTACTTCCTTCCCTCAAAACCTAACATTGAAACGATCATTATTACCACATTATTACCACCCAAATGAAATTCTCAAATTTCTTTGCTGCTGCAGTCGCTGCCTTTGGTCTGGGTAAGTTCTTCCTTCTGAAGTCATTGTACCTGCTGAATTGGCTGACTGTATCTGTTCAGTGCGCTCAGGCTGCAGCCAAATAGTCAAGCACAGGCCCTCAGAAGGTGCAGGTGTCTCCTATAGCATCAATGTACCTAAGAATACCTCTTCGACGGGCTCTGGCCCCATCTTTCTCCAATTAGAGGCACCACCTGGTGTCAAATGGTTTGCCCTAGGTCAGGGGTCGCAAATGACAGACGGGAACTTGTTCATCGTCTATGCGGCATCCAAACACAATGTCACCTTGTCCACTCGAAGGGCGACTGGCCATGTGCAACCTCTTTATGACCCGAGTATCGAGGCATATCTTCTCGAAGGCTCCGGTATCCACGACGGGGTCATGACCGCTAACATCCGTTGTGATAATTGCACAACACTTGCTAATGGAGAGAGTGCACTGGGCAATTCCAGCTCCTGGATGTGGGCCTTGACGCATGGCCCCCCGATGATGTCCAGCAACGTATCCCAGCTGTTATACCAGCATGACTGGCACGGCACTTTCACCTTGAAAACCACTTGGGCAGTTGGAGGCAACAATACCAACCCCTTCGTTGTCCCGATGGCAACCATGCACGAGCTTTCGGCGTACACCCATCAGCAGCAAGTCAGCGATACCATTCTCCACAAGAAACGAATCGCCCATGGCGTGATGACTTCAGTGGCCTTTGTCCTTCTCTTTCCCAACTTCGCTCTTCTTTTGTACATCGTCCCTTCTCGGCGTACAGTACCGTGGATTCATGCTCCTCTGCAGCTTTTTGCTGTGCTCCTAGCGTTAGCTGGGTTTGGAGTCGGTGTCTCTGTCTCCAAAGATCTGCAGGAGATTGGAGGCTACCACCCGGTCATCGGTTATGTGGCGGTTGGGGGTGTTGTTTTGATCCAGCCAATACTGGGCATCATGCAACATCTCCACTTCCGCAAGACAGGAACAAGTTCGCTATATGGCGTCTCTCATCGTTACCTAGGACGATTTTTCGCGGCCCTGGGAGTCATCAATGGCGGAGTAGGGTTTCATTATGCCACTGCCAAAAATCCTGATATTCCTCCGGCTTCCCCTATTGCTTATGGCATAATATGTGGGTCAATGTTCATCATCTATGTCTCCGTCATCTTTTGGAGGAGATCGAAGTCGGCAACCAAGACCTCGAGGTTCAGTTTACCCTTCTTCCGACGGCGACAAGAGAAACCGCCGATCGCCAAACTTGAAAATAACAGCGACAGCACACTTTGTGGAAGTGGAGTTGTTGAGACGTCACGGGAGAAGTCATGGCTGCCATGAAGTTCCCGCAGAATATCACGATCATTATCAGCATTTTGTACTACCAAGCGTACATTTTC